TTTTGAGATACTATAGGTCAGCTGGTTTCTGATTAACAGTGATGCCGGGTTCTTATCTCACTACACATGAAACATTAAAGAAGAAGAGAAGAAGAGATTGGATTTATACCCTAACCCTTCACAACCGAAAGGTGTCTCAGAGCGGCTGACAAACTCCTTTCCCTTCCCCTCCCCACAACAGACACCCTGTGAGGTCGGTGGGGCTGAGAGAGCTCTGACAGAAACTGCTCTTTTTCAAGAACAGCTCTTATCAGAGCTACGGCTTGCCCAAGGCCATCCACCCAGGTGCAAGTGGAGGAGGAGTGGGGAATCAAACCCGGTTCTCCCAGATTAGAGTCTGTGCACTTAACCACTACACTAAATTGGCAAACTAGCTAAAGACACTTAAATTTCAACATCACAATTAACAGGATTTTTCAAGATGTTTGAAAATTGGTGGGCGCACGGGGGGGCGGGCGCCAGAAGGGAGCCTCGCCTAGTGTGCAAAAATACCTGGAGCCGGCCCTGTCCCCAGACAATGACTAAGAAGTTCTTCTCTGTACAGTACCATTCTGTCAGTACTCAACAGAGAAAGAGTGGCGTGGATGATTATAAATAAAAACATATAACAGCCCAAATTATTAATTCATACCTTGTATGATAGCTAGCAAAATAACAATTACAAAGAAGAAAAAAGTAATATCAAAGATGATCCGATAAATTTCATATTCATCTCCTGCTGGATCTTCAATTTCATCACCAATTCCTCCACCAGCACGTACTCCCACATACATATGAAACATGTAGCACTACAAGAAGATGAGAAGAGATAACGCTGTTAAAGAACTCACATACTACAAAACTGAGTGCCACTGTTATAGGCATTTCTTATTTGTTTTACTGTAGGATGTACAAGTTCCAAGTTAGGAATTAAGGACGAGTCCTTCTCTCCTAGTGTCAGAATGTTGCCTGACCTCTTGAACACATCAGTGGATGGTAGCCAATATGGCAGAACAATGTTTCTGCCTGAGGGGCTGTGACTCTTGTTCCATGGATGATTCATTGTCTTAATCTGATAAAACACTTCTTTAGCTCTTAAAAGTCTCTAACTGCAGTACACAAGAAAGAGAAATTGCTACAGTTGGAAAAGAGATGAAACAGAAATGGAAACTGCATGCATAGCACCTACTTGTGCATGCAGGCCCACACCCACCTAAGAGCATGAATGGGTTGTCATTCTAATGCACTATTTTCTACCAATATCTCAGGTATTGTATCTCATATATCTCAGATTTTTTTAAAAAGGTCCCTTTTTTTTGGCCCCCCGAAGAGGATTTTTTAATTGCATTTTCTAATACACTACAAACTACAATGAAAAATTGGGAAGGGGTAGCTACATCTAGGGAGAAAGGAAAGAAAACCACAAATAACTAAAACCCCAAGTATAGGAGATCATAACAACAGCTTATAAATGTTAATCTTAAATTCCTAGCATCACTTTGAACATAGCTATGCTAAGTTTTTAATCTTTTTATCCAATGTTTTAACCATTTAAGAGAGCCCCCTGAGCATAACAAATCCTTAAATGACAGTGAACTGTAAGCAGAAGGCCCTCACAGATCTTTTAGAGGTCACGAGAGCCTCATGGACAAAACTTGTTGGACGGAGGTCTGGAGTCAAGAAGGGTAACCAAGACCACCCCGTCTCTCTAATCCACACAGATGAAAAACTTGCTCTGCTGCACTTCCTCTGCTAATGATAGATGGCGGGGGCATTTTTTCTAGATTACTTTCCTGCCCACATAAAATGTTACCACAGTTTTCCAGTACCTCATTTTAAGGCTAACCAAATATGGCAAAACTTTTGTAATATCTCTTTTCTGGATTCTTTAATACTAGTATCTACAGAACACATTTAATTCCTGAAAGCCTTCAATATGTCTTCATTGATCTATAATAGTAAAATCTTCAAGTTGTCTGAAACTATTTAATTTTTAATAAAACATACTAACTATATGAATGGGGTATATGTTAACAAAATAGGGATAGAAGAACAAAAATCATATAGGAATTACCGTTAGCATGTCATCACATTTCATATCTGGCATATCTCCATCTTCACTCTTATTGTAGAACTTGCGGAAAAAATTGAATGCAACTACAGTGTATAGGTAAACTACAACTGCCAATAATCCCACTGTTAGCACAAGCTAAAGAAAAAAGAAAGAGAAGTATAGGCTATGTGAATTTGGAGTACAATAGTATGCTTGGAAGGGGAAATAAACTGGTCTAACTCTCCTATTGACAAAGGAATCTTATTGGATTGCAGCAGGAGATTTTAATGTCCAAGATTTCGAGAAGAACTGACTTGATAAGAAACAGATCTTACACTTATTTTATTTTTAAATTTTATTTCCTTCAATTTATATCCTGCCCTCCCTGCAAAGCAGACTCAGGGTGGGTTTCAACCTATAATAATCTGCTGAGTGTAGATTTACAACATAAAAACAGAGTAACAAAAAACATACAATAAATACAATAAAATAAGTACAACACTAAATACTTTAAAATAAATTATACCTCAACAGACACACAAGAGTGACTCATCAGGAGGGAGTTTACATAAAACAACTGTGCAAAAGAATAAATGGGCACAAATCTGACATAAACAGTGATCGGTAGGAAAACATTTCAGTCTTCAGGACATTTGACTACAGACCTGAAAGTCAGCATTTTCAATGGGACTTTAGAGACTCCAATGGAAACTTCTGAATTAAAATTCATAATTAGCTTTGACAGTATTAGCCAGAAACTCAGTCAATCTGTTTATAGTCTCTATAGGCATTAAATTACTCAACAAACACAGGAGTCTACATTAGCACCACTTATAGATGTTATGAGGGATCCTTATGATTGCCTTTATTCTTTACAGTTTTGCATAGAAATGTCACATACTGGAGCTTTCAACCCGATGGCTTGAATCCAGAGTGACATGGGTGCAGGAACTTCTCAGGTATGTAGCACAAGTTCTATAGCCCAACATGCCCTCCAAATCCCATTCCTGGGGGGTCCCTTCCCTTCTCTTTCAGCGGCATGGGGGGGGGGACATTTTAGGCTGTTGCAAGAAAGGGGAAGGGGAAAACTGTGATCTATTAGCATAAGTCCTTGCATCCATAGAAACCTTAGTCTGCATACTACCCACTGTTCACAGATTTTTTTTCTTTTCTTTTTTTTCTTTCCTCTTTCTCTCAGTATATAAAAATCTTCATTTCAGGCACCTGATGAAGTAGGCTCAAACCCACAAAGGCATGTACTACATGAAATGTTATTCTCTAATGTGACACTTTCTATTTCATATTAACAACAGTTAAAATACTGGAGGCTAAAAGGCATTCTTAGTCCCCACTGCACAAACAACCTTTGCATGTATTTGAACCAAAAGCACAGTACTGCCAAGGGAAACCTAGAGCTGCCAGTGTGATACATCGATTATAACTTTTGCCCCTCAGAATTTGTAAAATAAACTAAAGAATTACCTGTTTCCCATTGTGGGTTACTGATGACAGTATAGTCCGCAGTGTTTTGAACCCCATTGCTATGTCAAGGAGATGAGCAGCAAAGAAAAAGTTGTTGTAGTGACCAAGGATTGACATGGTCATATACCAAGCCAGGTAAAGAAAAGACTTTTTAGGGGGAAAAGAATAAAACAAGATTTTAAAAAGGTCATATGGCAATGTTGATTCATTGTGCTCAGATTGCACAGCCAGATTATGAACTCAATCCATTAGGTACTGCCCCCAAGTAAGACATCCTAAATGTACTGAAAATTATTTTGTCTATAACAGTAACAGCAACTAGTTCTATGTGCTTGGGGAGTGCTCTAAAACAGCTTTCTGTAATAGAAAGCATATTTTATTTTACTGATTGATTGACTGAAAAAAATCTGTGTTGTAGAAATGAACAACTGCATTCTTCTGTACTATATTACAAAAATGGAAATTCCTTAAAAATTAGCCCTTTGTGTGCTGAAAATTTTAACTTTCTGTTATTTTACTTTTGCTTTTATGTTGTAACAGATGGTCACTGTTTTCTAAGATTCCTGATTCTTGGGATCGCAGAAGGGTACATCAGTAAGTATATCTGCGGCATCTCTTACCTAGATAGCTCAGGCTAGCCTGATCTCATCAGATCTTGGAAGCTAAGCAGGGTTGGCCCTCTTTAGTACTTGGATGGGAGACCACCAAGAAAGTCTAGGGCCACTATGCAGAGGCAGGCTATGGCAAACCACCTCTGTTCATTTCTTGCTGTGAAAACCCAATGGGGTTGCCATAAGTTGGGTGTAACTTGACCACAATTTCTACCACCACCACATCAGTCGGACTTTAAAATTATCCTCATTTTGTAAGGTTCCCATTTGCTTGCTTATGGTGGGAGACTTCTAGCCAATTTGCAGTCCTTGCCTGTCAACGTTCAGCTGATCTGTGGGGGGTGCGATTGTCCTGGGGAGAAAAATTTAAAAAGAAAAATAAGGCCTTGGGTACTTACAGGAAGTTCTGACTGTAGAGTTCCTGATATTTCCTAGAGCTACTCAGAAGTGACAAGGGTAGCTATAGCAATTTCCAGAAACTCTACAGTAATCTTACCATAGTGTTTCTGGCTATTGGTAGAGTTACCCCTGTAACTTCCAGATAGCTCTAGAAATTGTCGGGAACTCTACAGTTGGAGCTTCTAGTAAGTTCCCAAGGCCTTATTTTTCTTTTTAATCCACCCCCGGATGCTACACCCCCACAACCCTCCCTCCCCCCTAACTTTTTGAAGTCTCCACAGACATTTGAAAAATTGGGAACAGCATTCTCTATTTAATTCTTAGATTTTACTCTTCATTGTCCCAGGAAATTTAACAGAAGATCAACAATGTGAATCCCTTGGATTAAAGATGTAACAAATCCTAATCGAGGCAGAGATGAAAGATCTGCTCATCAATAACTGCTAGATGTGTTTCCATTTTCTAGATATGCATGAACTTACCGGCAAAACAGCCAGAGTAGTTTAATATGGAATATAATATTTTTCTATATGTAAAAAGTCTCAATATGTTGGAGATACATTCAGGGGGGGAAATGCCTTCCAAAAATGACTAGGACAAATCATGGTGTAATGTGAAGAATATTTTTACACATTAGATATAGGTGTATGGTACAATGTATAGTTGCATATCCTCTAAAGGCACCTAAAGTCTTAAAAGGATAGGTTTTCAGTCTGATATCAAAATGATTATAGTAACCCATTTCTCCCTTTCAGTCCTTCAGGTTATACTTCATGGTATGAACTCACATTATCAGTGAAAACAACTCCTAATTTCCACATCTGATACTTTACATCAACCGAATTCAGCCTGTAAAAAACAAATGCAATAGGAAGTGATACTGCATCTAATATGTAAAGAATGTCTCTTTACTGCCTAGGTAACAAACCATTGGTGACCTGTTTTACATTAGTTCTTACATGTATTACAATTGTTGTAATATGAACTTCAAGTTGGACTTAATGCAAGTGATTTTATTTGCAAAATGCCCATCAAATTCTCAGAATGAGCTGCTGAGCCATCCACTATTTACTTCTTGGGCCAGTTTGTAAAAGGCCTAAACAGGTTTGTTGCATGGCTCTGGATGGTGGCAGAGAACTATTGTTTCTTCACTGCTATCAGCACCACAGACCAGACTTTTAAATGCACTCTTAACCCAACATTACAAAGACTGGGAGTTGTCATTAGTCTAAACTTCATCAGATAACAATGAACTATCCATGATAATCTCCTCTACATCCAGATAAGATATCTCACATCCTGCACAAAATACAAAATTCAGGTTATGGCCAGCTGTATGGTGGGACTAGATATTTTCTAATACAGGCCATACTTGTTGATGGCTATGAAGTCCTTAGTCACCCCCGAAAGCAATGTTTTGGCATGGATATTGAAGTCCACAAGGTCTAACAATCTGGGGGTCTCCAACTTCAATGCTGAGACCAGCTGCATCAGCTCAGACACAGATATTGTTGGAAAGCAGTGTGGACAATACACCAATCACCGCCCAGAGCCAGACTAGTCCAGATGGGCGGGATAAAAATCAATAATAAATAAATAAATAAACAAATAAACAGAATCCCTACTCTGTCTCGGGAATGCAACACTATATAGAGATCCTCTGTATATAGAGATTGAGAAAACATCTTATTCAACAATATTACAACTACTAGAGTATTTTAAAGCTAACTTTAAAAAACTTACACAGCAGATAAAGAGCTATCTTTTTTGGGTTTCTTTTTTTCTCGTGCATCACTGAAATCCAGAGCGGCTTTGTCCATTCCCAGTAATTCACTGATTCTGTCCTTGCCATAGAACTCTCCATATTTATCCATAACCTAAAGGTTAACATGGAGACAACTGTCATTCCTTCCCTCAATTTTTTTATTTCTCACCTCCAGTATCACAACCAAAGTAAGAAGTAATAAAATATAGGCTAAGTTGTCACTGATCTGATGATCTGGCTACATGGTAATGGAGCACAAAGGATCAGAAAGAAATGTAGAAAACAGGTGCAAGGTGAGAAAAAATATTTATTTACTTCTTATAGATCTAAGGCAGGAAAATGTTGAAAAACAGGTGCAAGGTGGAAAAAAATCCACAAGAAGTAAATAAATATTTGTGGGGGATCCACAAGAAGTAAAAAAATTCCACCTTGCACCTGTTTTTCTACATTTTTTTCTGCCTAATGGTGCAGCCATTCTTGTTTTCTTCACAAACAGAATCAGTCATAAGGCCTCCTAAAGTCTGGAATGTGGAGAAGAGTCAGAGACAGGATATACTGTCAGCACAGCAGCAGCCATCAGCTTAATCGGATTGTGGCAGGCTGCTTATAAAAAGATGTAAATATAATTTACTCAGATTGAAACATTAATTTACAAGTATTCTTTAAAACCTTGTCAATCTAGATAATTTGTATATATCTTTAAGTCTTCTAGATTAAAACCAAACCTTTTGAATAGAATGTTGAGTCAATTGTCTCTCTTCAAATAATTTTCTGAAGAAAATATTAAAATACATATAGCACACAGAAATAGGAAGAAGCACAATGGTTGCATACAAACAATGGTGTGCATTCTACCACTCTGCTCAGCAAACCGTTCTTCTTGCCTAAGGAGGTGTCCTCCAACTTAAGTTCCTCTCCTAATGGAGGAAGAGCCACTTAGAGCCAGAGGAAAGCTTCTAACTTTGCTGAATAGAGGGACAGCATGTATTTCAATGAATATATGCAATATATCCTATGCCATCTTCTTGTGAAAAGCACTTTGTGCATATAAATCAGCTCCAACAGGAGTATGAAAACCTGCTGCCGTGAGAGACACAGGATCGTAGTCAGGATATGGTCATAGTTTTCCTGACTGGACTGTGTCTATTCAACAGATAATCCAGAATGATCATTTATTGGGTGGAAGCAGGGTCGAAGAAGGAAATACTGGGGCCACGTCTAAGAGCCTCATCTTCCTAAGAGTTTACTGAAGACATTTTTTACATCACTGAACATGCCTCAGGAATCTGGCTGCATCAACTCATTAAGATACAGGAATTTAAGACTATGAAAATAAAAAATAATTCAATAATAAGAAAAGCATTACCTTTCTTTTCACAAACTTGTCCCAATAGTTGTTAGGAAATGACCTAAGGATATATAAGAAACGCTGTTTAAATATAAAATATTACTGTTCATTTTTTAAAAAAAACATTAAACTAGATTTATTTTTAAAATTCAACATGCTCATGAGAATAAACAAGGGTGTTTTTTTTCTGTTTTACAAGTTTGTGCTTACAAATTAGTCCCAACAGGAATATAAAAAGTTATTAGTCCCAACAGGAAATATAAATTAGTCCCAAATTAGTCCCAAAAGTTATAAATGAGAGGAAAAGAATAGTCTTCAGTTGATAGTTAGGATATGGCCACAGTTTTTCTGGTTGGACTGTGTCACACTCAATAGGTAATTCAGGATGATCAGAGTTCCAGAGGTCAGATCTACTCCCATAGAAAATAATCACCCTTTAAGTTTCAAAGGGTCCAGAGACACCAACAAACAGCTGATAGCTGGGTAGACATCCTGGCCTCCAGAGGCCAGGTCTACCAGACATTATTTCCTACTGGTGGTAAATCCGGCCTCTGGATCCCAGGTGTATCCCATATGTCCTTTGAACATTTAAAAGGAAAGGAAGGGCCAAACTGGTTACAGATTTACCTTGTTGGCATCTGCCTCACTGATACGTATAAGGCATGATGCAAGCCTTCCTTCCAGTTACTGTCCCCACCAACAGTATCAAAGGCAGCAGAACCTACCCTGATGACAAGAAAATGGTGGGTGGGTTCATGGACTCCCTCAGGGCTTGGCTGCCCAGGTAGATTCTGTGACACTGGGTGCGGTCACACTGTCCTTTTGATCAGGGTTCGCCGCTGTTCCCTCCTGCATTTAAGTTTGCTGATGAGACAGGCGAATCTGCCTCCTGCGCCAAAGCGGGATCACTCCCGCAATGCTCTCGGGTTTTCCTGCCCCCGGGAAAATCAAGTATTTTCCTGGCACTTGTGCTTGGAATGCGCGATTAAGCCCATCTGGACAGCCATCTTTCGCAATGATTGCGATTAGGGCCGTCTGACCACTCTTTGGGTTTGTTTGTTTTTAAAGCTTCCGGTTTGAGTGCTTGGGCAAACATGCACTTAATAAATCCATTATTAAATGTTATTTTATGTTCATTTCTCTGTTTAAAGAAAACAGCAGTTGCCTGAGCCTGCCCCATGGCTGGCAGGATCGCCTGGAGGGACTCAGCGTGGTGGAGGCTCTGTCGCAGCCCCAACAAGCCGAGCTGAGTGCAGCAGCCCTCTAGGTGGCCGGTCTTCCTTTTCCCGCCCCTCTGAGGCTGGTCAGGCAGGCGGCTTGCTGGAGCTGTCATATTATCTTTAAACAGAGAAATGAACATAAAATAACATTTAATAATGGATTTATTAAGTGCATGCTTGCTCAAGCGCTCAAACCAGAAGCTTTTTAAAAAACAACAACATGGGTAATGCACGGTGATTTTCCTTAGGAGCTGGCAGGTGAGACGGTGGTGGAAGAGAGGGGCCGGCTGCATCTAATCAGCCCAACCAGAAGAAAAATGTTCCCGATTAAATTAAACCAGGAACAAAGCGGAATTACCTTCCCATGTGACCACAGCCACTGCCTCCACAGTGGCCATTCCCTCTGCCTGCCACTAGGGGAGCTTTTGGGGGAGGGTTTTTTTTAAAATCTGCAATTAATTCATTTTTGAATTCCCAGTTTAGGACCTCAACAACAGGGCTGGTAGCTTACTTTTTTTTAAAGAATGAAAGCCAGGAATACAAAGAAACTGGTACACATTTTGTAGTAACATTACATCAATATAACAACATCAATATAACAATATTAAATCACAGATTTAAAAAAAAAATACCCAGTGGCTGGGAGAAGGAACGATAGAACAAAGGCAAATCTAAAGCAATAGGACAAAGTTTGAGTCCAGTGGCATCTTTAAGACCAACGTTTTAGTCAATGTATGAGCTTTCATGTGCATGCACACTTCATCAGATACACTGAAACAGAGTTCCTTAAGCCTTACATATAGGTGTGGGGGGTTAGTTGCCAGGAAGTGCTAGTTAGAGTCAAGATGCATAAGTAACCGAGTGATAAATTTGGCTAAGATTGGATTAAAGCAGTTGATAAGACCTGTGAATAGCAGCAGATTAGCATACAAATAAAAGAGTTAGCAAACAGATGTGAGAAGTAAGTTTGAGTCCAGTAACACCTTTAAAACCAACAAAGTTTAATTCTGGGTATAAGCAAGCACTGAATGACTTAGCTTGTGTAGATGCACACTTCTTCAGACACATTAAAACAGACACCTCAAGCATTACATATAGGTGGGGGGGTAGTTGCCAGGAAGGGCTAATTAGAGTTAAGATGCATAAATTACTGAGCAATAACTATAGTTAAGATTGGATTGACGCAGTTGGTAAAACCTGTGGATAGCAGCAGATTAGCATACAGATAATAAAAGAGTTAACAACAGATGTGAGATCTAAGTTTGAGTCCAGTGACACCTTTAAGAGCAACAAAGTTTAATTCTGAGTATAAACAATAACTGAGTGACTTAGCATGTGTAGTGAGATAAGAACCCAATATCTCTGTTAAGCCCTGGGAGGTTCAATTATTTTTGTATTAATTTTTATTTTTATTTGTTTATTAACTTTATTTATTTATTAAATTAATATATTTATTAACTTGATATATTTATTAACTTGATATATTTATTAACTTGATATATTTATTTATTAACTTTTATTAACTTTTAATTCAGCAGTTTCCCATTCCAGTCTGTTTCTGAAATTCCTTTTTGTAGTAAAATTACATCAATATAACAACATCAATATAACAATATTAAATCACAGAAGCAGAAGCAGCTACTCTGAGGTCCCCCACTGAGTCTCTTGTGAGGCTGAAATGTTCTCCTACAGGTTTCTCAGTTTTGTGAGTCTTGATGTCAATGGATAAATGGAAACAAATCTGCAGCTCATTAACAGAGTGGATGCTTTAAATGCAGAAGGTCACAGTTAAAGCACCTCTTGTAGCAGAAACTGAGATGAACTTGTGCCCGAGACCCTACAGATGGGAAGCCAGTCCCATAGGCAATGCTTAGCTAGAGGGATCAATGGTCTGACTTGAAATGAGAATTATGAGCTGTGATGCTACAAGAAAGAAGGAAAGAAAAAAATACTCACTGTGTGTTGATAACAAGTCTATCCCACTGCCCTTTTATATCATCTTCCGAAGGCTGTTCTGTAATATATAAACCATCAAATTCCAATTTTCTTGCAACTTCTTTTTCTCGCTTAAATATAACAAGCGGAACCTGCAAGGATAAATAAACTTCCTAAAAATACTTCAAATCCACCACAACATTTGGAACCACTTTTTTAAAAGAACAGCTAGCTGCTGGAGAAATGTAAATGCAAGGAGTGAATGAGCCTACCTGAGCTCATAAAAGGACAAATGCATCATACACACTATATTCAACTGTACATTTTTTCAAAACAAAACAAACAAAAACAAATGAATGATACCAAGGCATAGGAAAGTAGAGAGATTATTGAGGCTACTGCTATTTATCATACATAGAGCACACACACAAATTGCAGACTTTATGGCATTTCTCCTCATCTTTGAGGTACATTAGAACTTACCCAAGACTACCCAATGATTAAAATGCAAACAAGATGAAAATTTCTAAGTGGACCAGTCAATAAAAGGTTGCACTTTTAAGACTTTATCATTTGTGACTGAATATTGATTTAATCAGCCATGCCAATTCTTAGCATAAATCCAGTTCCAGAAGCTGCAAACTCTTATTATTGTGTATATTTAGGAATTTACTGTGTACATTTAGGGTCATATAGTGCAACTACAGGGGTCACAGTGGCTTAGAAGTTAAGATGCTGAGCTGCAGACCAGAAGGTCTGTAGTTTGGCATTTTGAGACCCTAGTGCTACATGACGGAGTGAGCCCCCGTCTCTGGCCCCAGCGCCTGCCAACCTAGCAGTCTGAAAGCAAGTATGATATTGAGATTCGGGAAAAAATCAGTATTGCTGAGTTTATTCAGCAAAGCTCCCTTTACATGGCAAATAGCCATTAAACCCCTCTGTTTCACTCCCCCCACTCCGGAGCGGGGGGGGGGGAGCAAAGGTGAGGGCTGAAATGACTTGGAAGAAGACTACTATTCTCCGTTCTGTTTCCACAACCATTCTCATATCATTCCATACATCTGCTGCAGTAATTCAACTGGACAATATTTAGTATTCAAGGGCAGATTTTAGATTACATAAAACTAGAAGTTTTTCATCTTAATCCAAGAATGTCATTACTCTTAAAAGAATGGTTGCAAAATTTTATTTGCCATGCTCCTGAAGAACTGCATTAGAGGATCCCTGTTACAAATTGATTATACTGAGCCAGATGAAATTCTAAAGCAACTTTTTATATCTTGGGATGCAGCTGCCATATCTCTGAATTCTATCTGAATACATTTCAATTCCAATGAAGATGCATATGGCAGCTAATTTATTTGCTGCTGCTGTTCTGGATGGTTTTTTTAAAAAAATTAAACTTTACCAAGGAAAACAGTTCTCCCAGATGATGATGATTACTACTAGTTGCACTTTCCGAAGATCATTTATATTTATCTCCGAAGAAAAGCAGTTTTCTTTCTAATTCAAGTAGTTGGGTACATTTATTTTACTTTTCAACTATCATACATTAGCAATAACAAAGCATCGGTTCCTGCCAAATAGGGCTGATGCTGGTGTTTGCTTGCTCCCCCTTCTTACTGAATGAAACATGTGGGGAGGAGAAAGCCAATAAGTGCATGCCACATTGGCGCTGGCCTGTGGGAGGTCAGCACGCCAGCCAGGTTAAGCAGCGTCTACCCCCGCCTCACAGTTTGGCATGGTGCAAGATTCCCACCCTCCTTCCCTCTTTTGAGATCATGTGGAATTAGCTGGTTGCCTGTTTGGGGGCTGAGCAAGATTTTTGTGGGCCCTCGCTCAAACTGGCTGGGGGGGGGCTTTTTTCACCTGCTTCACATGGTTCAAGAGAGGAGGTATAAATAGGTCTGGTTAATCTAGTTAGGCCCTAACTGGGAAGGCGGGAAAAGCACAGGTTAACAGGAGTTCAAGTTGGTAAGCACCCCAAGACATCTGTGATGGGGGGGGATCCTCAAACTGAGTCCCTATTGGCTATGCTGTCTGGGCAGCTTTGTGAGGGCCTCTTCGGAGATGGGGGGCATACAAGCCTTAAGGCTAAGCAGACATGGGCGGGGACTATGCTCCATTATCTCCTCTATGTGGGCTATGAAGGGAAAAGATCGGAAAGATTCCAGATCTAGCTCTGAGCCGGGGTGGTTTTGCCCTGTAAGGAGGCTTGCCTGGCAAGCCAGTTGCAACCCATGCTTTAAGGAGTTAAGAAGATCAGCTTGTTATAATAAAGTTCCCAGTTTAACGCAAAATATGTTTCAGGGGGTAGGCAGGCAACTAGAATATTCTTTTTTAAAAAGAATACATTGAGGCTATGTGGAAACTGGAAATAATCACATCTTTGCTCACAGCAAAAGGAGACTATGAAAAACAATGGAATGTAACATGTTCTAATAAATAGGTCTGCAGTTTAGGTCTGGAACATAAAAGGAATTCCTGAAGAGAAATATCAAAAGTGTAATTGCATTTCTGTTCTATAAAATTTGTTCCACAGAGAGCTTCATGCCAGCTAAACCAAATCATTACAGTTACAAGACAGCATTTGCTACTGCTTCAGTGGAACGTGTCCTCTTACTTTCAAACAGTAATACCCAATGATGCAGAAGAAAGAGATGACTGTGTGAAGAATGGCCAAAATGCGAAGTGTAGGTTCCATATAGCCACTACTTTCTTCGAGGACATAATGGACAGTGATGATTCTATGAGAAGTACTTTCTAGGCTGCTTAACTTGAAGTTTTCAACAGTATTCACAACAGGAACCTCCTTTTCTTCAGCTACTGCAGATGTAGACACCTGTTGCAGTAATTTTATGTAAAGACAATAATTATTTTACATAAATGGTCACATGTAAAGACAATAATTATTTTACATAAATGGTCACATTTTTACAAATTCAAACAAGACTATGGTCACCATTCAAAACAAGGCAATTAGCAGAAAAAAGCCATCTGGTAAAGATATATCATGAACCATTTCCTTGTTCAGTCTTTTTGAACAGCTTTTTGGGAAGGCATGCTTTTTGAGACAGTATGACCTTGAAAGCAATTCCTAACTTTCTGATTAATTTGGTTCTACTAATTATCTTTTGAATTGTACTGAACCTGAGAATCAAATAATAAATTGATGTTAATGACACTGTGAGGACTATCACATGTCTGTATCCATTCTCTCAACTAATGTACTTACAGAGAAGGCATTTATTTCTCAATTTATGGAGTAAGTATGTACAAGAAAGCAAGACTGACTTCTGCAGCTGGAGATTAGAATATTTATCTCAGTGATGGATCAGGGAGCCTATTCAAAGTTAGATCCATCTAACTCTATCTTCATCTAAATTACTATTAGTCTGGAAACATCCCTGTGTATTTATTGCTTTTTAAAAGAAAATAAAAATGGTTTTGTTAGGTATAAAAATAACATTATAAATTATCTGGAATCAAAGATGAGCTCTGCAATAGCAAAATTTTCAGATGCCACAGAAGTATTCTGGACAATGACATCCTAAACAGACTAAGAACAGCTGCAGAAGATCTCTCTGGGTGACTGTGCAACAAAATGGCAAACAAGAGTCAATGTAAGTAAGTGTTAAGTGGTGCACATCAGAGCTAAGAATTCCATCTTCACACAGAAGCTGGATGAGCCTGAAGTGGCAGTTGCTATCTAAAAAAGATATCTTGGGGTTATTATGAATATTTACTGAAGACAACAACTTGGTGTCCGTTTTTACTAAAGTAACTTTAAAATTAGCAATGATTAAGAAAGAAACTAAGATTAAAAGAGTAAAGTGTCATAGTGCTACTACCTTAATCTATGGTGAAGGAAACCTTTGGAATATTGATTGCATAATAAATATCACATCTCTAAAGCAATATCAAAGAGCTGAAGAAGATACAGTAAAAGTCTACTAAAATGATCAAGGAACTGAAGCACTTTGTGAGGAAAAGAGACTGGGACCAGTGTTCCCTCTAAGCTGACTTCGTGTGAGCTAGCTCATAGTTTTTTAGCCTCCAACTCACACATATTTGTCTTAGCTCAGGAAGGATGGATCCAGACCAAACTAATTTATGCAGTAGCCAAATCACTCACTCACAACTTTAATGACAGTAGCTCACAAAGTAGAAATTTTGCTCACGAGACTTCACAGCTTAGAGGGAGAGTTGGCTGGGACTTTTTAATTTTGTGGGAAAAGGTAAATAATAGATGACCTATACTTCAGATGAGTTAGATATAATGTATCATGGGTTAGATCCTACCATTTTGTTCAATCAACACATGCACATTCCTCAAGTGTATGTTGCATAGTGTTGACATAAGATGTTCTTGACTATCATCTCAATCCATTTGGATCCTGCATGTTCTTCCTGAACAAGTTGGCTTCCATTTGATGCAAAATACCCTTGCATTAGAAAAGGTGCAAGTGCCAATAGAATGAAATGGAAGGATGCAACCCTGTGAATAGTGTCAAAGGAGTAAAGAGGGAACACTTTTATACACTCTCTCTCTCAAAAAACAAACACTAGATCTCAGAAATATCCAAAGTCAAATGGACAGTAGATTCAAGACAGACAAAAGAAGGTTTTTTTTACTGTAATCCCTAAATAATGTATGGAATTTATTGCTCAACATATGTTGGTGGTCACTAATTTAGGTACCTTTTAAAAGGGATAGACTGTCTATGTATATTTGCCATAATAAGCCAAGTGGTCCCTCTATGATTAGAGGAGGAGAATGACAGTTAAATACTCCTTTTCTTCCATTCCCTTTCCTCTCTCCCTCTAAAGATTCTGTGGGCCCAAAACGGTGAGAAGGGAATTGGCTGATAAGGGGGAAAGGATATAGACTCAGTTCTGTCTGCCACAATGTTCAGTTAGATGGAGACTGAATTCACTCTCTTGTTTGCCAGTTTTGTTCAACATCTTTATATTTGGATGAAGGAATAGAGGGAATGCCTCAAAGGTTAAGCTGCTGTGCTGCAGACCAGAAGGTCTGTAGTTCGGCAGTTCAAGACCCTAGTGCCGCGTGACAGAGTGAGCGCCCGTCTCTGACCCCAGCTCCTGCCAACCTAGCAGTTCGAAAGCAAGAAACTGCAAGTAGATAAATAGGTACCGCTTCAGTGGGAAGGTGACAGCGTTCCGTGTGCTTTGGCATTTAGTCATGCCGGCCACATGACCATGGAAATATCTTCAGACAGCGCTGGTTCTTCCGCTTGGAAACAGAGATGAGCATCACCTCCTAGAGTCGGATTCAACTAGCTTTCAAGCAAGGAAAACCTTTACCTTTTATTAAATTTGCAGATGATACTAAATTGGGAGGAGTAGAAAATACAGTAGAAGACAGAGTCAGGATACAGGATAATTTTGACAGGCTGGAAAACTGGGCTAAAACAAATAAAATGGATTTTAACAGTGATAAATGTAAAGTTCTGCATTTAGGTAGGAAAAATCAAATGGATAATTATAGGACGGGGGAGACTTGTCTTGGCAGCAGTGTGTAAAAAGGATCTAGGGGTCTTAGTGGACCAAATGCGATTTTGGGCTGTATCAATAGAAGTATAGTGTCTACATGAATTGATGGTTTCATTTTACTCTGCTCTGGTTAGACCTCACCTAGAGGATTTTGTTCAGTTTTGGGTACCACAATTTAAGAAGGATATAGACAAGCTGGAACTTGAGGGGTCTAGAGACCAAGTCCTATGAGAGAGGTTGAAGGATCTTGGTATGTTTATCCTGGAGAGGAGAAGACTGAGAGGTGATATGATCACCATCTTCAAGTACCTGAAGAGCTGTCATATAGGGGATGATATGTTGTTCTTTTCTGTTGCCCCAGAAGGTCAGACCAGAACCAGTGGGTTGAAATTAAATCAAAAGAGTTTTTGGCTAAACATTAGGAAGAACTTCCTGACAGTTAGAGCAGTTCCTCAGTGGAACAGGCTTCCTTGGGAGGTGGTGGGCTCTCCTTCTTTGGAGGTTTTTAAACAGAGGCTAGATAGCCATCTGGCAGCAATGCTGATTATGTGAATTTCAGCAGATCATGAGAAAAAGGGTGAGAAAGGTTGCATCAGTGCTCAATTCTTGTGGCCCCTTCTTACACACTCAGGGAAATTTTGGGATCAGTCAGCAATTTTTCTCCAGGCCAGTTTGGTCAGTGATCCAGGAGGTTTTTAGCCATCTTCTGGACATGGAGCAGGGGTCACTGGCTGTGTGTGGGGGCAGTATTTGTGAATTTCCTACATTGTGCAGGGGGTTGGACTAGATGACCCTGGTGATCCCTTCCAACCCTATGATTCTATTATCTATGCAGCAAGATGGCTACCCAAAAATAATCTAATAAAGCAGTAAAGAGATTTTTAAGTCACATAGAATTTTACTATCCCCACTGGAATTTGTAATGTAACTTTGGCTACAAACAGTGGAGAGGTCTAAACTAAGAAGTTGACAATGTGAGTCTTCAAGAACCACTCCTTCTCACATTGTAACTTCTTCCACTTCACCCACAAGAAAAAGAAACTTTTAAGGAAGTAATCAAACTCAATTAAATAGGACTTAGACTCACATACACATGCTGTAGGTCACAAGCACTTATACTAATTCTATACCATATTTGTATAGTCAAAACTTTGTATAGTCAAAACAGACTCTGGATGCAAAGCGATATAATTTTCATATAGAGAAGAGAGAAAGAAGAAGAGATTGGATTTATACCCCACCCTTCACTACCCAAAGGTGTCTCAGAGCGACTTTCCCTTCCCCTCCCCACAACAGACACCCTATGATGTAGGTGGGGCTGAGAGAGCTCTGAAAGAAACTGCTCTTTTTTCAAGAACAGCTCTTATCAGAACTACGGCTTGCCCAAGGTCATCCAGCCAGGTGCAAGTGGAGGAGTGGGGAATCAAACCCAGTTCTCCCAGATTAGAGTCCGCGCACTTAACCATCTGAATATCTGTATGTTAATATCTGTAACAATTACCTTATAGAAGAGTAGAATGAAGTTGATGGCAAATGCAACAAACAAAGCCAACATCCTCATATTGTAAAAATTCCGAGCAAAATAGTTCTAAAATACAAAAGCATAAATGGAAAACAACAATATCCAATCTGGATAATTAAATTCAATTCAACTTTAAAAATTGTATTAACAGTTTCTAGTGTTTCCAAAAAATACGACTCTTTCCTCCAAGTTATGTATAAGCATTACCTCTAATAATACTCACTGAAGAAAGTGAACCATATATGCACCCCCTCCCCAATACTGTAGGGCCAAAATACACACAAATGCATGTAATGACAGATCGAAAATATTTCATTTTTCTGGACAAGCTTTTGGGAAGGTGCAAGCGAAAGTACAAAGAATGCTAGGTCTAGATTTCAAAGTGCCTGGGGTAAAACAGCCTCATGTGTAGCGCACACACATGAATGCACATTTTCTTCCTTCCTTGTAGAATACAAATAGTGACTCCCTCATGCTTCATCAAATCCTGCTGATATTGCAGCAGGGCCTCTAGAGCAATAGGAAAGGTGCCAAACATATCTTATCAACCTCTCCTCTTTCAAGCTCTGTTCACAGACAGGGCTTGAAGAAAAGTGGGAGAGCTATACTTCCCTGCTTCCCTCAGGGGCTCTCTTGTACATTGGCATGCAGTGGTGGGTGTTAGTGAAGTGAATACTGCAACATATTCTAGCCAGAAAGGTAACGATACAGGGCTCTCTTCCATTTCCAGTTGGGGGAGGTGCCAAAATGAAGCAGCAGAGGAGGTGTTCTTTCAACCTTCCTTCACTCCAGTTGGAATTTGACTCTGTGGCCTTATGTCCTGGTAGACACAGTTGGCAGAGGGCCCTCCTAGAGCCCTGGTAATTTCAGTCACACTGACATCTGACCTGTTTGTTTGCTATGAACACAGCTGAAATCATAAAGAGCAGGGAAGCCACTACAGTGGAAGTTTTGGAGTGTGAAACAGCAGGCAGAAATGTCATTAAATGATCCCCTTCCCCATTCTTATCTTTGCTTCTCCCAGCATTCATCCTCCGAAAGCAGTTTTCCAGCAAACTAAAGTCACTATGACATACATAGACACATGAACAACCTTATACTGAACCAGATCATTGCTCCACCTAAAGTAGGGCTGCCAAGCTGCGGCAGGGATCCTGTGAAGACGTGCGGATCCCCCGCCACGGCTTGGCAGCCCTAACCTAAAGTATAGCTACTCAGAGTGGTAGCAGCTCCCCAGAGTCTCTGGTAGAGGTCTTTCACATCACTTACTACCATATCCTGTTAACTGCAAAAGCCAGGGATTGAACCTGGGACCTTCAGCATGCCAAGCAGAAGCTCTACCACTGAGCCATGGCTTCTCCATTTCAATGTAGTGTATAGTCTGGCCCTCAAATCACGTTATATTCAATTCCAATTAGATAAGGCTACTTCATTCAATCATTCATTAATGAAATATGAAGTTGCATTGCAGAATTAGAATTTAACTAGATATAGGAGACCCATAAACAGTTCTCTCAGTCTTAAAAAGTATACCGCAGATGGCAACTGTGGAGGAAGGAGGCAGGTTGGATCAGAGCCACAGTGTGGGGGAACGGGACCTTTATGTTTGCCACACTGAGTCTGCAATCTCAGTTGCCCCCTTTGAGGAATATTATTTGCCTCATGGAGAAAATAACTAGGCACCAAATAGTGCCTGTATATTTTGCCATACTGGGCAAATGGCAGCCCTGGGAAGGGCAACTGAGATTGTGAAAATAGCTTGGAGGGAAAAGTTTAAACCTTGAAGAGACCTCTTACAAGTAGTTTCTGTTGATACGCAATAATTTTCTTCCAGAAAGCCGACTCCTGGGTTTCTGGTTCACCATGCCTGTGTTTATGATGATGTCTCGGTTTCTGTTTTGCTTTGTCTTCTTTGTCTTTGTCTTCTTTTTCTCCATCCTCTCCTCTGAAAACACAAATTATCCCAAAGTTTATTGAAAGTCCCTCTCTGCGTATTAAGTATTCTAACAGAGAGAGAAGCAAGCTGGATGAGTCACATGCTTCACAGACATTTCACAAAAAGTCTGCCCTCTCTTTGAAGTACTTAAGTATGTAAAGAGATCACAGCTAGAAAGGACAATTGAAAAGTGTACAATGAATAAAGGCATGCACAAAATATTAGGACAGAACAATTTTATAATGGGATTAACACACTGGGAAGGAAAAAAATCACGAAGTGGGATAAAAAGGAATGGAAATCACAGAAGCCATGTTACAATGGCTATCAAGTAATAACTATTTACCACTGTATGCATTTTTGCTGGTGCAGCAAACCCAAAGATAAGGCCATATATTCAAATGGTATTGCTTATTTAATGTGATTCCCAAACAGTTCAATGGCTGTACTTCCAAGTTAGACTGCTACAGTAGGCAGATTCACAAAGGGGACACACACAGGGATACTTACTCAGCTTTCTCGGGTTCAGATTTAGTTTCTTCTTTCTCATCCTTCTCGTCTTCCTTCACCTGCTGCTCCTTGAATGAATAAGAATATCAGCAGATTACAAGCAGCCAAAAAAAGGGGGGGGGAGCCAGTGTACAATGCAAGAAGCAAAAAAGAAAACACCACTGGCAAAAAATGAACACACAAGCAAATAAGCAAGTATATAATAATCAATTAAGCATAACAGCAAGTATAATATATATCAAATTAGCATAACAGCAAATATAATATCACTCAATTGGCCAAAGTGCAATAATAAAGAATAATAGAAACAGAGTCACAGTCTTTCCATGTATCTACTCCAGCATAGAAGCAATATCAGAGTCCAAATTGGAATGCTTATTTGCTTGTGTGTTCATTTTTTGCCAGTGGTGTTTTCTTTTTTGCTATCAGCAGATTACAAGCATCACCTTACAAAAACAAAAGAGCTTTGGCTCTGAATTGATGCTTACAATGAGTAAAAAATGAGGCTTCAGTAAACAGCTACATAAAAATACTATTTAAAACTTAAAACTAAAACAGCTACACAAATAAACGTGACTAATTCCATCATCTTGAATAAAATGCCATTGGTCAGTGTAATTAATATACATGCAGTATTTAAAATATCTCCAACATTCTTGAAAATCTTCATGTTTGCAAATGTGCTTATATTAGATTTTAAAAGTGTAGACCTAAAAGGTATAGCATGTACCTGTATTTTTTCTTGTACTTCAGGTAAAGGGGGTAAAGAAGGGCTGCTCAGCAAATCACTCAGGCCAGCATTTGGGTTATGTGGAATTAGTTTATACTGTCCTCCTTCTCGTTTCAAATCCAAGCCAAATATGTCTGACAGGAGGTCACCCTCTTCTGACAAGGCTTTCAGGTCGGCTAGATCTTCTGCAGGCAAGGCAGCTTCTGCTGGCTTCCTTTCTACTTCTTCCCCTTCGCCACGCACCTCATCCTGAGTTGGGTCTGGCATATTAGCTAGAAGTTCAGCCACCTTAATTTTTTTAGCCCCTTCTACTAGGCTTCCTCCGAGCAGCAAACTGTACATGATTTGAAAGAAACCTCGGAAGACACTTGATATAAAATGCATTAAGCCCATTAAAATGCTCCAGTAGGAGGAGAAAAAAGCCATTATCATATCTTTCATGGTCATCTTCTTCATTTTCTTCATCTGCTTCTTTATGTTTTTCATGCTTAGCATTTTCATCAGCATCATTATGTTACACCTGAGAGCTACTAATGCTGATTTGACAGTCAAAAGAGAGAAGAAGCCCATTCTAGGGTCCTGTTCCTCACGCTTCTCATTCTCATTCTCTTCTTTATTTGCAGACCTCTCATTCAGATCTGATTCTGAGATCTGAGCAGCCAACTGCATTTCAAAGATGGTGTCCTCGCAGAAATTAACAAAAAGCTCCATTTTTTCCTTCTCCCCTCCTTCGTTTACCACATCAAAGATAAACTGTCTCTTTGACTCTTTAACTTGAGGTTTCTCCCACTGTGTCCGGCTTGATTCACTTATCTCAAAATATACTCGTTCAATGCGCTTTGCACTACCCATTATTTCTATGCGTCCTAAGAAAGGCTGAAAGTAGTTCAGAACACTGTCTGCTAGTTCAAGAAAAGTCTGCAAACGGGTATCGTGAGGCATGTGCTCTGACAGGTTGGTCAGGAGAACAGCAACATTGAAGCCAATGTCTTTCGCAGGTTCATGAAACCGTTTCACAAATTCCTCATAGTCTAATGTCTCATTCTCATCAGTCTCAGCACAGGAGAGCAGAAACTCTGTTTCAGATTGAGTATAGTGCTTATGGCTTTCCATTGCTTTATGGAAATCTCTTTTTGAAATCACACCCTTGCCATCAGGATCATATTCTTTGAATGCATCAGAGAAAGTTAAATCCTTCAGTTTTAGGAACATATCAAAGAATTTTAGAATCATTTCTACGTTGTTGGAAGATTCCACTAACATGTCAACCATCTGTTTGCCGATTGTTCCATTCACAACATTGCCTAAATGTGGAAAAGGGTATTGATAATTTTATTAAAATAAACACTTGAATGAGTAACAATCAGATGTGGTAAGCCTTACCAACTATGCCACACGCTACAGAACACCTACATAGGATTTCACACACCATCACTTAGAACCAAGGCTGCCAAGAGCCACAATGGTAGCCACATAAAGCTTCCCTCTGAGCCTTCCTCATGTTTAGAATACATATACGAAGCCTGATTAGAACATGCTGTTATGCTCCAGTGGCACTGAACTGTGCTCCCCAAGCTCCCAGGATGATCTAGGCCCCTCAAGTTTTGTACTCATAATCCTCCCTCTCTGCAATCCTGTTTAGAATAACTTTCACAATATGACCAAGATTTCTATTTGGGGGGGGGACAGACAGACAGGTTTACAACATGTCATGTTACTATTTACAGATATAAACTGTGCATAGATTCTATCATCTATACTGAATTATTTCTAGCCTTTACTAAGTGATAACTAATGGCAAACACATCTATATTATTTGCCATATTTTTAGCCTTCACAGAAAGGCATACATGATTCTTCTATTTCAATATTGCCTTGCGTTACCACTAGAAAAAAGCTCAGAATGGAATGTGTGCAGGGGAAAAAGCACTTTATTCCAAAAATAATTGTTTCAGCACAAACTTCCACAAATGGAAGGAGGTCACACAAGCTGGGAAGATCTTCCAAATTTCTCTTTAAATGTTGGTTTCACTGGATGTCAATAAATACTCCACTGAGAGCTGCGAGACCCTTGTAAACAAACCACACTGTGTCATGGGGAACGTCAGTGAACTGGGGAACTGGGCAAAATGGCCCCACTGCTTCTGTTCTACTGGAGTTCAATAGCAGAAGGATGAGCAAAAGCAATTTTGTCCGATGAGGGAAGGAGAAAGTAAGGAAGACATACTTCTGCAAGCTCCTTCCAGTTGAGTAAGTTTGGATCCAATGCACTGTGATTTGTATTCAAGGCAAATTACTAAATTAATAACACAGATTGACAATAAAGTACTGTTTTTAAACCAGCAGGTTATAAATTTCTGAAGATCTTATTGGTTAACTTTAAGTAACCAAAATGAAAATATAAAAATATTGTGATTTTAACTGATATATTTCAGTGCTATTATACCAATTTTATAATATGTCTATGAAAAGTAAAAATAAAATAAATACAGTTTTTAAAAAATGGGCTTAAATTCACCTTCTAACATAGACAGTAACATGACCACCATATCCTTCTGAAGATCCATCAACTCTTTTAGTAACTCAATTTGACTGGAATCCTGTCAATATAAAATAACAAAATCGTGACAATTTTAATTCCATCTAGCTTCTACATGCATATCTAGGAAATTACACTTGAATTCTATGGATCAGGTAGTCACCAGTTTATCATTACATGCCACTTTGGAGGGCCCCCAAGTTTTCAGACTAGCTTTTCAGAGGACATGAAGGATTGCAGTGGGGGCAGAAACAAGGAAAATCCAGTGCTTATGTGGACACACAACATGTGCTTTTTAAAATGTAAGACTATGGAACAGGTAGCTCTAAAATATGACTTGAAATTACAACAGTGTGTTTCATAAAGAAATCTTCAGTGTAAGTTCAGTATCAAACAGGATTTGAAACCAGTTAAAACATGTTAGCAAACTTTTGTTTTGTAACATTTAACAGTTGTAACATGGAAACATGATTAATGTTCACAAAGGAAGGTAAAAGGAATTCCTAAAAGAGGAGAGGAGATGGGAGAGGACAGAAGAGAGAGGGGGGGTTGGGCTAAGGTTTATTCATGACCTTCTAACCATGATTAAGAGAAAAGAAATATTATATTTTAGCAAAAGAAAATTATTTCCTCAATGGTATTTTTTTCTGATGAACAAAGATACCTACTCCTTTATGAGTGAAAAATCCTTTATGTATAACAAAATATATTTTCTTTGCTAAGAAGCTAAGAAAAGAAGAGTGGATTTCGATGAAGGTAGAATGAAAATTGGTGGAAGGAACACTAACACTTTGAGATATGCAATTGAGACCACATCATTGCCAGAAAATAGTAAAGACTTAAAATAACCACTGATGGAGGTTAAAGTGCCAAAGCAGGATTACAGCTGAACATCAAGAAGACGAAAAGCAATGACTACTAAGGAATAACACAACTTTAAGGTTGATGATGAAGAAACTGAAATGGTTAAAGATTCTCTCTTCCTTGGTTCCATCATCAATCAAAAGGGAGACCGCAACCAAGAAATCAGAAGGTGATTGAGACTGGGAAGGGCATCCATGAAGGAAGTAGAAAAGATACCTAAGTATAAGGACATGTTGTTGGTGACCAAGATCAAGATAATTCATAACATAGCATTCCCCATTACCATGCAGGGATGTGAAAGTTGTATAATGAAGAAAGCTGACAGGAGGAAAGCTGGTTCATTTGAAATGTGGTATTAAAAGAGAATTTTATGTACACTGTGGACTGCCAAAAAGACAGGTAAGTAGGTTGTAGATCAAATGAAGCCTGAATTCTCCTTAGAAGCTAAAATGACTAAATTCTGACTATTGTACTTCAGTCACATTATGAGAAGACAAGTCTCTCTGGGAAAAAACAATAATGTTAGGAAAAGAAGAAGGCAGCAGAAAAAGAGGAAGACCCAACATGAGTTGTATTGACTCAATCAAAGAAGCCACGGTCTTCAGTTTGCAAGACCTGAAAAAGCTGTAAATGACAGGACATTTTGGAGGTTATTAATTCATAGGGTAGCCATAAGTCAGAAACAACTTGACAGCACATAACCAGTGGTATACCAAAGGCAGGGGTTGTGGTCCACCCTGGGTGCAGCTTGAGGAACTCAGCTGAAGGGCTCTTGATGCTAGTATCATGCGGCATCCAGCCGAACGCCTTTCGTTTTATTTTTAAAATGCTGTTCTGGCTGCAGCCACTAGGGGACAGGGAAATCTGAGCATAGCAAAAAGGTCTCTAGGATCGGCTAGACTTCCCTTTCTCCAGGACTGAAGTAAACTTGCTTAACAACAACCAAGCCAGCACAGTGATAGCTGCTACAGTCATTGCCAACCAGCAGGTCATTTTCTCCAATAGACTAGCCTTTCTCTCTTCCTTTCTTTGCACCCAGCTCAGTCAGATCTTGCAAAGCAGTAGTTATGGTGTTACAGAAGATAAAACAACCTTCCCCTCTCTTAATTTCTCTCCCTCTTTTCCATACTTTGTTAATCCATTTCCGTCGTCACCTAATTTTTCCATGTCCCCCCCTTTGGTCTTAAGACCTTCTCATCCCTATCCTGCTTGGTGACAGAATGTATTTAAGAGTAGTATAGTAGCAAACCTTTGTTAATATTATGAACAGAAGGAAGTGGGTTTGCTGGGCACTGTACATTGCACTGGTTCCAGTGGGCTTCCAGCCCTCCCCTCTTGCTGGGACTGTGATTCTGTGCTTGACATCAGCTGACATTGCCACAATGGCACTGGGTTCTGCTGGGCACCCTATGACTACATTGGTACTGTTGGGTACTGAGTACATTCCACAGGTTCTACTGGGCTTGCAAAATTGACACCCCCCCTTCAGTTTCTACTGCAAAGATTCTCTGGTTTGACTTTAGTCCTCTGGAAACAATGGAGAATAGGGGTACCTTCTTTGGGGGTTAGTGTGTTTCCTAACATCCAGTCTGGTGCAGCTTGTGATCACTATTTTGTGATGCTTTGTCTAGTATCGGTTAGTTAAAGTTAGTACAAAGGCAAACTCCTAGCTCTCAAAAACGCCTTGTAGATGTTTGGGATGGTCAGCTCCTGGGCTTCAAAATGGAGAGAAGAAGCCCTTCCAAGTGCCTGCTCAGAACACGAGGGGAGTGATGGATTTTTTTCCTGTCAAGTCACAGCTGACTTGTAGCAACCCTGAAGGGTTTTCAAGGCAAGAGACATTTGGGGGTGGTTTGACATTGCCTGCCTCCATGCCAGCCCTGCTTAGCTTCTGAGATCTGACAAGATCAGGCTACCCTGGGCTATCCACTTCAGGGCTAGGCTAAGAGTAATGTGATTGGCCCAAGTTCATCCAGCAAGCTTCCATGGCATGAGTGGGGATTCAAACCTGGATTTCCCAGGTCCTGGTCTGACACTTTAACCACTACACCACACTGGCTCTCGTGATGGAATAGCATGTTGGAATTTGACTTTTTTTAAAAAACTGGAGCGCACACACACACACACACACACACACACACACACACACACACACACACAC